AGCAAGGGTGATGCGGTTTGTCGCCTGATGACCCAAATAGCTGCGTTCTATGTGGAATTTCTAGGGGTTCGCGTCACCGGATTTTGCGAAAAACTTATCGCAACAACCTATATTTTTTTTCTGTTTTTCAGAAACAGGAAATAGTAAGCTATTTCAGCATATAAGCCGTTAGCCTGGGAAAATTCGTTTTTTCCAAGCAGGTCCGTTGAAAAAACTGCAAAAAAACTACATTTTTCGTATCCAAAATTTACGTTTAACTACAGTTTCTACCCAAATTATAGAGTCGACGGACAATAACCAAAATTGTATCGGAAGCCGGCTGGAAACCTCCGTTGACTGATGTAATGAGATTTCCCGGCGTACTTTTCTTGGCGGAGTTATAGCCCTTCGGTCTGAGGGTGTCCGCCGGATCCAAAATCGTAAAAAAAACTCCGGTCCGAGACCTTGTGCGGTCGGAACCATTTAAATCTCACGAACATGCAAATGAGGTAATTTGTACCATTTAAATCTCACGAACATGCAAATGAGATAATTTTTATGAAGATCACGCCGTGTGGCGCTACACATGTCCATAAAACGTGACTCAAATGCTAAGTTATATATTTTGAAGTTTCTTCCGGTTCATAAGAAGCCAACACGACCAATTGTACCGTGTCGGCATCAAACACAACCGGGCCGCCATGTTTGTTCACATGTTGAATAATAAACGTAGCGTGCCTTTCGTAGTAACATTCCCGAAAACGCCGCCGAAATTGCGCTTTCCTGTTATGATTTTTTGCTGGAATTGTGTTGTTACGATTATCGCTATTGTTGTAATTAATAAATGTTAGAGTATGAAATAGTCGTTCCCTTGAGTGCAAAACGTCGAAACCTGGCCGATGGACATGTGTAGCAGTGGCCTCTAGCGATTTGTTCCAAACTGCAGGGTCACATTTACCTGTGGCTGACGTAACTATGACGTAACTGTAGTAGTACACAACTTACAGTACAAGTATCAAAGCGCAAATCTACGCCGACTGAACACGCACCATAATTCAACTTTTACAGTCTCAAAACTGACGTATTCCTCTAACATTTACCACAGGTTCCATCTCGATGCCACGCACAGAACAATTTCTGCACCTTTCTCTAGTATTGTGCAGCACTACTTTGTACCCGTACGGGGTTCGCCCATGAATACTGTGTTGTGCGGTCAGAACCATTTGAGTCTCACGAACATGCAAATGAGGTAATTTGTACCATTTAAATCTCACGAACATGCAAATAAGATAATTTTTATGCAGATCACGCCGTGTGGCATTACACATGTCCATAAAACGTGACTCAAATGCTAAGTTATATATTGTGTAGTTTCTTCCGGTTCTTAAGAAGCCACCACGACCAATTCTACCGTGTCGCGCACCAAACACAACCGGGCCGCCGTGTTTATTCACATGTTGAAGAGTTTATGTAGCGCGTGTCTTTCGTAGTAACATTCCCGAAACCTGGCCGAAATTGCGGTTTCCTGTTATGGTTTACCCTCCCATGTTTTTAGCTGAAATTGTGTTGTTATGATTATGGCTTTTGTTAGAATTAATTAGTGTGTTTGTAAGTTGTCACCTACTATCCAGAAAATGTTCTTGTCGCAATTTAATAGATAAATGGATGAACCAAAGATCATTTGATGAAAAATTGCTGAGGTGTGTTTCCATCCTAAGTTTATAAAGTTGATTGATGGGGATAGAAAATTTTCGGATCTGTTGTGTTTTGTAGATAATTAAAAGCTATAATCAAATCGTCGTGGTTTTCAGGCCTGCGTGTGTGATGGCTGTTTATTGGCCTGTCTTAATCTTATGTTAACTTGATTATCAAATTCAAATTTTGCTCATGATTTACATACAGCTGGCAAATACATGTGCGTGAACACGCCGTTCCAAGATGGCGAGTGTGCATGGAAGGAAAGAACGAGCTTGATGAAAATTCCGCCCAGGAAGACGACCACTCCCGATTTTGTGGTAAGTTGTACTTTAAATTGTCGTAAATACCATCAGGACTGTTGTAGATAAATCTCCTTTCAATTAGATGAAGCAAAAAGACAATTTCGAAAATAAGTTGTGGAAACTGTCCCCCAAGACTTAACGCTGCACTATGTAAACCAACCGCAGAGGG